AACCCAGAGGGCAGTTTTAAGTTCTAACCTGCCCTATAGGGTCACTGTGCATCAGAATCAACTCAGTGGCAGTGAGTGGCACTGTTGGGTAAGCATTAGAATCGGCAACCACAAGATCGGCAGATCAAATCCACCAGCTGGCCAAAAGAAAATGTGAGTCTATCTGTTCCTATAAAGCAGTGGTTTTCAATCTTTCTAATGCTGCAACTGTTTAATACAGTTCCTCATGTTGTGGTGAGCCCCCAACCATAAAATTATTTTCATTGCTACTGCATAACTGTAATTTTTCTACTGTTGTGAATCGGGCAACCCTCTGAAAAGGTCGTTCAAACCCCCACAAAGAGGTTGTGACCCACAAGTTGAGAACTGCTGCTATAAAGATTTACAGCCTTGGAACACCTACATAGGCTGTGAGTCGGAATCAATTCGATGGAGATGGGCTTGATTGTTTGGTGTTTCTTTAAATAGTGGAAGCTGCTGGCATTCAAAAACAAAATAATCACATTTTCTATGTAAATCTCACTATTAGAATATTTCCAATTGACAGCAAGTATACAATACTGCAAATAAATCTTTAAAACACAATTTGCTTTTACTCAGTAAGCCTTCATAGTATTGTATAAGTGCCAGGTACAATACTGGGAACTGCAAAATTAAGAAATAGCCCCAAACATTGTAGTTCTTATAATATGATTGGGTAGACTATCCAGAGAATCACAAAATAGAAAAGATTTTTTTGTTGTTGTTAATAGAAAAGATTATAGTCAATTTGTGTAATTGGTGCATATCCAATCATCTTCTAAGGAATTAACATTCAAATGAACATGTTGCTCAGTACCATCTAATCCTTTTGACTCACAGTGACTCCATGTGACAGAACAGAACTGAACCCCAATGTTGAAGGCTGTAATCTTTATGGGAGTAGATCATCACCAGCTATTTCTCCTGCAGACTCTTTGGACTGATTCAAACCATAAACCTTTTGGTTAGCAGCCCCAAACTTCCCCTAAGTGAACTTAAAGGATGAAAAGCCAGTCAAAGGAACACCAAAGCAATTTGAGCGCGGTAGTTAGGTGTGAATAATCTAGTCACAATGTTTGAATGTACTATCTATACTGAATCAGTGTATGAATTTTGTCACACCATTAACCTGAGTCTGTTTATTCACTTTTATAAAGTAGTAAAACTACTATTATAAAGTATTATAAAAGAAAAAAATGTTTTAATACAATTTTAATAGCATTTGCTGAGACTCAGAGTGGGAGAAGAGCTATTGATAGATAGTGGGGGCAGGGGGGAGTGCACAAACCACTAAAATGTGGAGGGCACAGTGTAGAGAAGAGGTAGGGAGTTGATAATGGAAATTCACAGGAGTGTTACACCAAAATGTCTGTCAACTGAAGAACTGAGAAATAAACTGTGGTATTTATCAATAGAATGGCATGTTAAAAAAGGAAGTGTCGAAGCATGTTACAAGAACTCTGAGAATCCAGAAACAGTATTAAATGTCCAAACGAAACAAGTCAATAAATAGATGAACAGTTGCATAGGGCTGCAGAGGTGTGCTGGGGGAAATGGAGGGTAACTACTAAAAGGTACAGAATTTTTTATGGGTTGATAAATTTTTCTCAAGCGGATTATAATGATGGCTGCACAATCCTGTCTATATACTAAAAAACAATTGCACACTAAAAGAATAGTATGATATGCAAATTATACTCCAGTAAAGCTTTAAAAAAAATGGCTTGACGTTTCCACCCCCAGTAGATCAATAACTGAATAAAGCAAGTAACACTGACTACAATCTTTCTGCTCAGGTTATTGCCTTACTATATATATACTGATCTCCAAGCCAATATTCTGGATAAGATGCTGTCTAACAGGAATAAAACACAAGCCACATAAATCTTTTTAAACTTTCAAGTAGCCATAGTAAAAAGGTTTTTAAAAAAGGGGGGGGGGGTGTCAAATCCACTTTAATAATACAAGGGGCTTCAAAAAGTTCCTGAGAAGTTCGATTATCTTTTCATCCTACAGTTGCATGACCTCTTTGACTCCCCCTTGTACTATCTTGCTTACCCAGGTGCGTCCCATCCAAGATTAAAGTTTTTAAGATCAGGTACCTTCCCTATTTTTTCCTAAAGATTTTTGTCAGTGGCATTTCCTGCCTTATTATTTGCCCTGGTGGTATAGTGGGCTGAAAACCTCAAGGTTGCTGTATGAAGCCACAGGAGAAAGAGGAGGCTTCATAACTCCTTTAAGAAACTCGTGGGGCAGTTTTACTATGAGTTGGCATTGACTTGGGGGGGAGGGGGGGAGAGGATCATGCTAGTAAATGTATCATCTACAAACTACTTTTCAGAATTTTATTTCATTTTCCTATAGGCACTTCCCTTAACAAAACCCACATACATTTCAAATTGTCTTCGGATCCTTGGTTCAATGTTTATCATGTTTTATGCTCAGAAAGAAAATAATTACCAATTAAATAAAAACTGACCATCAGAAAAGTGGCTTTAAAGTCTTTAAAATTTTGCTTTGATTTCAAAAGTTTTAAAAACACAAACATACAACTTAGAATTCTAATTTCATCATCTACAAAAAGCTAAATCATCCTCATAGGTATCCTAACAAATCTATTTATAAGATTCTAATTTTGTGCAGCGAAAGAAAGCAACAAAGCTAATGATGGCCTGAAATAGGACTTGTACAAAGACCTAAGGCTTCTCCAAAACATAATATAGATACCCACCCACTAGAGTAGCTAAAATTAACAGACTGACCATGTCAAATGTTACCAGGAATGTGGAGCAACAGAAATTCCCATACACACTGATGAGCTTGCAAAACAGTACAAACATTTCTCAAAAAGGCTATTTCTTATAAAAGCAAGCATACTCCTGAACTATCACCCAGCCATTTCCCTTCTAAGTACTCAAACCACAAAAAATGGACGCTTACATCCAAATATAAAAAAAGATTTATACTAACTGGAAACAATCCAGCTAAGCCTCAACAAAAGAACAGATAACGTATGGCATGATAACATGACGACGAACGACAAATTACCAAATAATATCATATAATGGAAATGCAATAAAGGAAAGAATTTCTAATACACAACAAAAATAAATCTCAAAACATGTCCAGTTAAAAAAGCCTTACCCAAAGAGCACATATACAAAATCACATGTAAAATTGTTGAACAGGCAAAATTAACTTACGGTGGAAAAAAAAAAGTAGTTGATGGAGGGGAGAATGACTGAACTGAGAAAGATGCTCTACATCTTTTTTTATTTTTTGATGCTCTACATCTTGATAAGGCTTTGGGGTACATGGTTGTACGAACGTCAAATTTACCTTGTAGTTTTAAACTGCTGAACTCATTAATGACAGAGGCATTGAAGTGCTTTTTAAAAGTGGCAGGTATGCAACTTATTTTGAAATGCATCCAAAAAATAAAATGGGCTGATAAAATATTAGAAATGTGGCACAGTAACTACATTAAAATGCTAACTGCACGTCAAACAGTAAGATATGACAAAATAATAATTTATAAATTATCAAGGGTTCATGAGGGAGGGGGGCGCGGGGAGGGAGGGGGAAAATGAGGAGCTGATGCCAGGGGCTTACGTGGAGAGCAAATGTTTTGAGAATGAGGGTAAAGAATGTACAAATGTGCTTTATACAATTGATGTATGTATGGACTGTGATAAGAGTTGTAGGAGGCCCCAATAAGATGATTTTTTTTAAAAAATGATAACTGTGGGTGATGAGCATATATATGGCCGTTCATTGTAAAATTCTTTCAACTTTCCCATAATTGGAAAACACAAAATATTGAAAACTTTTATAGACACAATGACACAACCCCACCCTCACAACAATGACAACAATGTGGTGATTCAGTTGGTGCTAAATTTCTTAGCTTATGTGCTACACTCTACTGCTTCACAAAACACAGCTTTAAAAGCGAACATCCCAATCTATTACTGTTCCTTGGAAAGCTGATTATTGGTATAGTTCAGCTGTGTCCTTTCATTGTTTCAGTTACAGATCAATAATGGATCAACAATAAACTGAAATAATTTGTTGAATTTCATTAAGACGCTTCAATTAGTCGCACAATCTGTGTTCCTGAGCAGATTTCAAAATATTCAAGTTATTGGATAATAGTGCCCATTAACTTTTTTAAAAATTCAATGCAAATACCAGAATCTGTGTAACAACGCTATCATCTCTCAATAATCAAACAAAAACCATAAAACAGTACCATCTAAGCCGCTCACGCTGAAAGTAAAATAGCAAGTCATCAACGACGAACGCTTTCCCCCTTTAAGCCTTTTACTATAATTTAAGGTTTGCCTGGAAGCAATTTCTACGTCACAGTGTTCGTGCTAACCACCCCCAAGATTGGGAGATGAAGATTTCAGAATCTAAAACACGTAAATGTACTTAAATGTACCCAAAACCTACCTTACGGCAGTAGAGGCACAAAATAATAATGCGCCCTTCTCCTCCCCGTCCCTTCCTTTTTCCCCTGTATTCTTGAAACAAAAACATAGCCTGGGCTGACGCTAACCGTGCACCCGCCGGGCCTCCACCCCGCCCCGAGCCAGGCGGAGGGTCCCTTTCCTTTGTGAGAAGCTGAAGCGGCTGGGGGCGGGGAGCTGGGGCTGGGGTGGGGGGGGGGGGGGGGGGGGGGGGGGGGGGGGGGGGGGGGGGGGGGGGGGGGGGGGGGCAGGCGGTGGTGGAGGGCGAGGAGCCGGGCGGCGCCCTCCGTGCCACAAACAGGCCGCGGCCCTGCCACAAACCTCTGCGGTGTCCCAAGGAGCAAAACCAAAAGCTTGGATGTGATCTAATCTGGGAGGAGGCCCAGGGAAAATGGCCGGGCCACTTCCGGGGAATCAAGCTTCTCTCCGGGCCCCCCAGACCTCCGGCCACGGGCAGAGGTCCCTGCCGCCACCTCGACCCCGGTCCGCACCCCAGGCGGTCCTCACCTGCTGGACGGAACTGTTCTCGGGCACGGCGAACTCCTCTTTCTCCTTCGGGGTCTTCACGGTGACTTTCATGATCTTGGGCTCCGCGGAGGCTGCGGCCGCCGGCGCGCCGGCGCCTCCTGGAGCGGCCGCGCTGTCCTGGGCGCCCGGAGGGCCGCCGCTCTCACCACTCTCGGCCATGGCGGCAGTGACTCAGGAAAGGCGGGGGAGCAGGCAGGCGCGGGAGCCAGGAGACGCCGCAGCTGGCCGACTCGGACAGCGAGAGATGCAGGACACACCGCCGCGGTGGCAAGCGGCACGGAGGCGCCCTGGCGGGTGAGGGACCGCAGGACTCGCTGGGG